CTGGGGTCAGAGGGAGGGGTCATCCCTGAGCACTGAGGGCTCTTCCGGGGAGCCTGTGCAGCACCCCCGTGCCCCGCCCTCTGCTCCTCACGCTAAGGAATGCCCGCCGAGCACGGCGCTGCTGCCCTGTGTGGGCGCCCACCGCTCTATCGCCACTGGGGCCTGCGAGGACGTGGGCATGAGCACCCCGCTGCCTCCAGCCCACTGCTGGCCGGAAGTCGTCCAGTAGCATGGAGCGGAACTGAGCGGTAGCAGTTAGCGCCAAGCAGGGCGCTGGCCACACGGACGGCGTCTCTGGGCTTGTACTCGCTCGGCGGCGAGGCCAGCATGGATGGTGGCGGTTGCCAGATGTCTGGCTTCCGTTCATGCCGTTGGCTGCCACTGTGGCACTGCTCTTCCCAGCAGCCACAGAGCCAGCCCCATCTGTAGATGAGGGGCCCAGCGGAAGGTGGGTGCCCTTTCCTCCCTCGAGGCCCAACCCAGTCAAAACTGCTGACCTAGCTGGGCCCCGGGCTGCGCTCCTGCCGTAGGGATTGGTTTCCCTGCCCTAGAAAATGCACTGTGCGTGTGGGCCAGGCTGGGCCACGTGTGCCGTAGAGTCCCTCTTGGCGCTGTGCCTGGCTGGGAGGCTGTGGCCCCTGTGCACAGGGTGCCAGCCTCACGGAACGGCCCACACGCACCCTGCTCAGTGGCCTGGGGCGTCTGGGCGGTGCCTGTCCTGGATCCGACTCTTGGAGGCATCAGTCAGCCCTGGCGGGCTTGGTGCTGCAGGAAGATTGGTCTCTGCCAGCCATGACGCCACCGCACTGGGAGTAGGGTTCCTGGTGTCGCGTTGTGTGTGAGGAGGGGCGCAGGTGCGGCCCAGGTGTCTGGGCAGGGTCAGTGATCACTCACTGTGTGAGCTCACGCACGTGCTGACGGGTCTGAGTTGCTGGCGCCTCTCCCCTTGCAGGCAGCACGCCAACCTGGCCGGCACGCTGAGCGGACACGCCTCCTGGGTGCTGAACGTCGCCTTTTGTCCCGACGACACGCACTTTGTTTCCAGGTACGGAAGGTTCTCAGCTGCGTCTGAGCGCCAGGGCGTGGCGGCCTGGCTTCTGTGTCGGTCACCCTCAGATCTGAAAGCTGTGGGACTCTTAAACCCAGGGAGCCTTTGTCCTCTGCGCTTCAGCCGAGAGGTCTGTCGTCCATAACTGGCATAAAGCCCAGTTCTCCAGCAGTCTCTCCACTTTTCCTTAGAAATCTAGGTTTCTACCTACAGATACTCCAAGACGCACCTGTTTCCAGCAGTACATGCAGCTCTCTTTGTAAGGTGTGCGCGTGGATAGATGCAGTGGTTTCACATTTTACTATTTGAAAGGCAAAGCAACAGAGACTGAGGGAGAGAAGGAAGAAGAGGTCTTCCATCTGCTGGTTCACTCCCCAAATGCCTGCAACAGCAGGAGCTGAGCCAGGCCGAAACCAGGAGCCAAGAACTCCCTCAGGGTCTCCCTGGGGTTGGCAGAAACCCAAGCACTTGCGCCATCTGCTGCCTCCCAGGCGCTGCAGCAGGAATCTGGATTGCAAGCTGAGGCGGGACCTGACGGGTGTCCCTAGTGGCGGCTTAACCTACCATACCACATCGCCCACCCGTACCATGCCACATCACCCACCCGTACCGTGCCACGTCGCCCACCCGTACCGTGCCACATCGCCCACCCGTACCGTGCCACATCACCCACCCGTACCGTGCCACATCGCCCACCCGTACCGTGCCACATCGCCCACCCGTACCGTGCCACATCGCCCACCCGTACCATACCACATCACGCACCCATACCGTGCCACATCGCCCACCCGTACCGTGCCACATCGCCCACCCGTACCGTGCCACATCGCGCACCCGTACCGTGCCACATCGCCCACCCGTACCGTGCCACATCGCCCACCCGTACCGTGCCACATCGCCCATCCGTACCATACCACATCGCCCACCCATATTGTACCACATCGCCCACCCCGATAGACCCCGTGTTCACTGCTGCTCCGGCCCAGGGCAGTCGGCACAGCTGGAAACAGGAAGACTGTCTTACGCTACTACGTGCGACACCAGCATCCTGTGTCAGAGAGCCTCCCCCGCTCCCCGCTGTTGTGCCCGAGAAGGCAGTGGCGGATGGCCCAAGTGCTTGGATGCCTGCAGCCCTGTGGGAGGCCGGAGTGGGCTCCAGACTCCTGGCTGCAGCCTGCCTCAGACCTCTTGTGGCCATCTGGGGCGTGAACCAGTGCATCAGAATCTCCCTCTCTCTCTCTCTCTGTCTCTCTCTCATCCTCTCTCTATTGCTCTGCCTTTCAAATCTTAAAAAAAAAAAAAAAGAGTTGCTCAGTAGTTTGCTGCCTTGGGGGCCATACGTGAATCTGTGAAACTGAAACAGACCTCCCTCCACTGGGGAGCAGGTGGGTGTCCCAGCCCGACGAGGGCGTGGAGCGAGAGGCTGGGCGGGGCAGATGGTCCTGGCAGGCACACGGCTGCCATGTGGGGAGGGAGCCACCTGCTCCAGCCCGGCGAGTGGAGGGGCGGGGGTAAGCCAGGGAGGGAGTGAGCACGGGACTTCCGGTCGAGCGCTTTCCAGCCTCGGACCGGTCAAGCTGCTTTCTGATACTGCCGCTCGCTGTTCGACAGCTCATCTGACAAGAGTGTGAAAGTCTGGGATGTTGGCACGAGGACCTGTGTGCACACCTTCTTTGATCACCAGGATCAGGTACGATGTACACCCTGACGCTCCTTTGACTGGTGGCTGGCGCTCAGCCACGGTGCCAGCAGCTTCCTCTCCCCGCCTTGCTGCGGGGTCGAGGGTGGCAGACCCTGAGGATTGGCCACTGCTGTGTCCCCTCGCCCACGTTCCCGTGCAGTGGGGGGGTGGGGGGGGCGTCAGCCTAGTGACCGTGAGGCCTGTCCCTAGCGGCACAGCCTTCCTTCAAGTGTCTGCTCGAGAGACTGCCGCCGCAGGCCCTGGCGCACCACCAGCCAGGCAGCTCGGGAGGGCCTGCCCTCTGGGCTCTGCTGCCCTGATCCGTCACTTTAAAAAAAAAAAAAAAAATAGGAGATTGAATTGTTTTAAGCGAGTAGACACTGGAGCTCGCGCCGTCCGTGGCCTTGCTAACTTCTGTGTCCGGGGCGCTGGGCTGGGGGCAGTCTGACTCGCCGGGCTGATGTGGTCTAAGATGGTGAATTTCTCACCAGCTCCCAGGTGAAGCCAGGCTGCTGGTCCCAGCCACTGAGCCACTGCGTCGCAGAGGCCCTGGGGAACTTAGCACACAAATAAAATGCTCACAGCAGTGCAGAGCTGGCTTTTCATATATTCAATTTTTTTATTTTTTTTTTTTTATTTTTATTTTTTTTGACAGGCAGAGTGGACAGTGAGAGAGAGAGACAGAGACAGAGAGAAAGGTCTTCCTTTTTGCCGTTGGTTCACCCTCCAATGGCCGCCGTGGCTGGCACGCTACGGCCGGCGCACCGCGCTGATCCGAAGGCAGGAGCCAGGTGCTTCTCCTGGTCTCCCATGGGCCATCCTCCACTGCACTCCCGGGCCACAGCAGAGAGCTGGCCTGGAAGAGGGGCAACTGGGACAGAATCCGGCGCCCCGACCGGGACTAGAACCTGGTGTGCCGGTGCCGCAAGGCGGAGGATTAGCCTAGTGAGCCGCGGTGCCGACTGGCTTTTCATATATTCTAAATGTTTTAGATGATCTTTTTAGATTCTCCTCTTTAGAGTGCAGCTTAAAGTTAGCAGGGTTGTTCCAGGGTTCACCTTGGACGCAGGGGTCAGTGTGGCTGTTCCAGATGTGGGAGTGGCAGTGAGGCCATCATGTGAATTCAGGGCTGGACACCAAGGTCAAGGGGACAGGCCAACCACCTGTTCCTCCTGAGAGAAACTGCGGCCACGGCAGTGCTGTCTGGGGAGCAGGTGTGAACCTGTTCACGCGCACGTGGCAGGTACAGTCGGTGGCCCACAAAGCACGCCCCGAGCCGCGGGACCTTGAACCTTGTGGCCGGGGCACAGGGCTGGGTGAGGGACGCGGGCAGCAGCTCTGGGCCTGGCAAGTTTGCTCCCGGATACAGGTTGTTCCTCTGCGGTCTCTGCCGCGGCACAGCCCTTCCCGTGGGCTGAGTGACAGGGACGGGGCTGGCGCGGGCTCCGTTCTCCCCGGTGCAGAGGGCGCAGGAACGTCCTAGACTCAATGAGGAGACAGCAGGCTGTTGCTTTCACAAACTCCCGGGTGAGGAATGAAGGCTTCAGTAGGGCGTATTTTGTGGGTTTTGTTTTATTTTAGGTCTGGGGAGTAAAGTACAACGGAAACGGCTCCAAAGTCGTGTCTGTCGGTGATGACCAGGAGATCCACGTCTACGACTGTCCCGTGTGAGCCGGAGCCTGCGCGCCCGGGCTGCGCCCAGAAGGCTCCGCCGTGTCACTCCCGCCCTTGGCAGGCTCTCCGTACAGAAATGCCGCATTTGTTACGGCAGAGGCTCGAGTTTGTAGATACAGGACGAATCTTTCCATTGTATTGGGAATGCTGTCCGTACCCTAACGTAAATAAAGCATTCTTAATGCAAACGGCGCCTTCTTGAAAACACTCGTGTTTCATCTACCCTGTGACTGCCGGGACAGCGAGAGGAGCTGGCGCGGTCCAGCGGCCGCACTGGCCTCCGGGCAGCCAGGGACTGGGCATGCCTCGCCTGGCGCCGCCCGGGCTCCCGTCGGTGGGCGGGCAGCTCCTTCAGCTCATCGTCAGGCTGCGCGAGCCTCCTTCCCACCCCTCGCCGCACAGCCCAGTCCCGGCTCCTCCCTCCCCCGCCCCTCTCGCTCCTCTGGTTCTTCCCAGGGTGAGCGGCCCGGCCCATGCGTGCGGTCGGCCCACCCCTGCACACGAGCTCCCCAAGGGTGGGAGCTTCCCCGCCGGCCCTGAGGCGGGGCCTTGAGCGCTGTCCGTCTGTTCCCAGGAAGAAGAGGCAGAGCCACTGTGTCTCATCCAGCTCCGTTTTAATTCGGAAGTGACAGGTGCACAGGTGGAATAAGTCAATCACAACCCCTCCAGGTTCCGCTCGGGACAGGAAGGAGCTGGACGTAACGGCTCCAGCGCCAACTGGACAGTATTCTTTAGCAACGATTTAAGGAAGGCACAGCACAGACGGCAGCCTGGAGCCGTGGTCCACTGGGGGCGGGCGTTCACCTGGGCTCGGCTGGAGGAGTGCGTTCTGTCTGTGCTGACTGGGGTCCACGTGGGCACAGGTGGGCTCCGTGCTTGCAGCAAATGGCAGCCCACTGCTAGCACGGTCCATGCGGCCAGCTCGCCCCACCTGCCCATCTCAGCTGCCCTCTGACCCCCACCCCCCCAGGGTCTGGGCCACAGGAGGAGACCAGGGCAGACCTGACAGGTGGTCCCGCCTCTCAAAGGCAGTGAGCTCTTCATGAGTGAGGCAAAGAGCTGAGCAGTAATGGCTAAGGCTGAGGTCGCCCCAACTCAAGCTGTCGCTTGCCCGCCCGGAGGAGAGACTCCTGTCCCCCAGCGAGCTCTCGGAGACGGGCCGGGCGCGCAGTGCCTAGTGTGCAGGAAGCCCCGGGTGAGACGGCTGTGCAATGGGCAATGATCCCTTGGGAGGGAGAGTCTGGGGGAGAGGTGACAACACCAGACCCCGCAGCCACCCGGGACACCGGTCAGGAGGCTGGCGGTGCCGTGGGGCTGAAGCCAGCCTGTACCCAGGCCTCTGCCGCTGCCCTCGGGGTGCTGGGCGTGTGGGCACATTCGTGTTCTTTACAAGTAAGCACTTGGGTGGGAGAGCATCGCAAAGGCTGTCAACAGAAAGTCATTAAACACAGAACACGTGCGCGGGCCACCACTCGGAACACGGGTCTGTCCTGACCGCAGGACCTGGCAGGTTCCCAAACGGCCAGGAGATGGTCGGACAAAGCCATTCCAACCAGGGCCCTAGGGTGCCTGAGACTCCGGGGCAGAGCCCGTTGGGCGAGAACCGGGCACGGCGAAGCAAGTCCCACCCAGGGTCCCCTAGAATGGAGGTTCCCGGTGTCCTAGCCGAGGCAGGGCGGGGGAGGGGGAGCCGCAGAGCCAGGGATGGGCCGGGCCGCAGGCCCCACGGCCCGGCTGTGCTTCCCCGGCGGAGCCAGAACCGGTCGGCACGGCCGCAGGAAGCGTAGGTCCTGAGGGTGTAAATGAACAGATCGCATATGGAGACTAGAGGTGATTGACACTTAAAACATTTAAATATAAATTAAGCTATAACTTAAGTTACAACCAAAAAAACACCCAAGAGGACACTCAGCAGTTGAGGATGCTGAACACATACACAGGACACCCCAAACACGAGGCCGTGAAAGCGAGGCCATTTTCATTGTGCCAACGTTACAGTCACCACGTGCCGTGCCGGCCACGCCCGTCAGGCCGTCTGGCACTGCACTCCGGCCCGGGGCCCGTCGTCCTCCTCGTCGTAGGCCTCCCGGTGCTGGCGCCAGCTCTGCTCGCCGGGGTTGAACTCCTTCAGCTCCACCTGCTCCATCTCGTCCGTGATCCTGACCTTCTGCCGGGGCGGGAGCAAGGCCTCCAGCTGGGGCAGCTGCTCTAGGGAAAGCCAGTGCCGCTCAGGAAAGACCACCTGCGGGGAGAGCGAGCGCATGGAGTCACCGCATGGAGTCCCGCCGCCGGGGGAGAGCGAGCGCATGGAGTCACCGCATGGAGTCCCCGGGCCCAGGCTGAGGCTGCAGGGCCGCAGGGCCGCGGGGACGTGGGGACGTGGGGACGTGGGGTTGCGGGGTCGTGGGTTCGCGGGGCCGGCGCACTTACGAGGAACTGGATGATGAGCGCTCCCTTCTCCAGGGGCGCCTTGTAGACTGGCATGCCCTCGTTACGCACGCACTTCAGGTCCCCGTGCTTTACCACCTCACCTGGGGGCGGGGGGGGGGGGGCGGCTGTCAGATGGGCGGGGCCTCTGCACCAGGGCCTGCCCAACAGGGGGCTGACAGCTGGCACGCGGATCCCACACACGATGGGGACCCTCTGAGAGCCGCTGGGGGCCACCTGCAGTCCCCTCCCTGGATCCTTGGGGGACCCCTCTGCAGGGGAGCAAGCGGCCCCCAACTCGGTTTCTGAGGCCTCGAGACCTACCGGGACGGACGGAAGGGTCTGGAAGCACACAGGGACAGAAAGGCTGGGGCGGGGGGACAGCAGAGGGCAGGGCGGCCAGGGCTCTGTCTTTGGTCCGTCTCTTTCTTTAATCAAGTTTGTCCTCAGTCCCTGTCGGGCCCTTGCTGCTGCTCAGGGGAAGCTGTGAGACCAAGCAGGGAAGACTGTGGTGCTGGGGGGGCGGGGGGGGGGAGCCGGCTCCAGCAGGTGTGGCAGGCCACCAGCAGGAGGAGGAAGAGGGGGAGAGGAGAGGAAGGAGCAGCAATGGGGGGGGGGGGGGAGTGCAGACAGGAAAAGGTTAAGGGAGCCCAGAAAAGGCAGAAAATTGCCCCAGAAAGTGCCCGCAGCGGGAGGTTTGGGGACACCCGGCCCTTCCCCTGCTGGAGCCAGAGCAGGGCCCTGGGGTTTGTCACTCCCTGGTTCCGGCGGAGGCACCAGGCTCCAGTCCCTCAGGCTGCCCCAAGACCTCAGCATCCATGCTTGGCCCAGGACGGGCCTTCCCACAGAAGCTGCATGCAGACATGGCCCAGCCCCCACGGGCTACAGTGCAGCGGACACGGGGGCCTGGGGCCCTGCCCGCCACCTGTGGCCTTGAACTCCTCCTCCCGCGAGGGAGAAACCGGGTACCTGGGAGGCATGTGGACTGCAGCCCCAAATGCGCGTGCAAGTCCCGCACACAGCAGCGCCTCCTCCAGTCCTTGATGAAGCATGCACGCACGTGTGCACACGCACACACACGCACACGCTCTGCAAATGTCAAACTCTGCCCAAAACTGGAGAGTCTTTCCAAGTTTTAAAAAAAAAACCACAAGCTCAAGGCCTGATCTAAAATGTCATCTCACATCATCCCCAAGAAAGGGGGGCGGAGGAAGAACAAGAGAGGTGGGCGACAGAGGGAGCCAGGCCAGACAGGGGAGGGCAGGGGAGGCCGGGGGCAGGGCGGCCTCAGCACCAGCCCAAACCAGCAGACTGCCGAGCCCTCCCGGCCCTGCCTTCGGACGGCCAGAGGCACGGCAACCCCCCCACCCAGCAGCACTGCTCGCGGCCTAGCCACGGCCGCACCCGCGGACACGCTGCTGCCCACTGCTGACCCGCGGTGCTGTGCCTGTCCTCAGCTGTTTGGCTCAAAAACCACATTTTTTACAAGTTTGATGGGCACATTCAGCTCAAATTTGGGACTCCCAAGACTCCCGCTGCGGCCCCTCCCCGCTGACACTGGCTGTTTTGTTCTGGGAGAGAATAAAGGAACTCCTGACGCTGTGGCGCCCCCCCCCCACCCCCCCGCAGCCGGGCTGGGGGCCTGCGGCGCCCGGGCCTCACCTGACTTGGACGTAATGACCAGGGTCCGATCGTCCAGCGTCTTTATCGTCTTCTTGAAGCCACACAGAGCTTCAGAGAGCTGGATTTTCATTTTCATGATCAGGTCGTGGCCTCGCCTCTGAAAGACACTATGATCCTTCTGATCAAGCACAATTATGACATCGCCAGGCTCCAGCTCAGGCTCCTGGTCGCCTTCGCCATGAAACAGAATCTTTTGCCCATCCTTCATACCTACGGAACAGCACGCCCCACGGTTAGCGCCTCGCGGGCTTGGGGGTCGCAGTCGGCCAGCCTCCCACCCACAGCCCGGCCTGGGGCGGCAGGGCCTGAGGAAAGAGGCGGGGGCCGGGGTCCTGAGCGGCCAGGCAGCCCGGTCACACGGCGTGCCCGCCCTGGCCCGCTGCTGCCTCCTGCCGCCACCACCCACTCTCAGCGCACAGCTCTGGCCACTGTGCGGGGCGGCCAGCCTGGGCCCCCTCCGAGAGCTGGCGTGGGCACACGCGTGTGCGTGAAATCCCTCCACAGTGCCCGCGGCGGCGGGTGTGGATTCTCTCTTGTTCTCGGGGTTAGGAAACCACGGGGACTGGGGCAGGAGGCACTGCACAGGGGAGGGGCCGCAGTGGGGAGAGAGGCAGAGAACAGAACGGACGGTGTCCCCTTGGTCACGGGACAACCCAGCTCAGCAAGAGCGCCCCAGGGTCCCAGGGGATCTCTGAGGGTGGCCGCAGGGCCCTTTCCAAAACGGGACCGCGTGACACCCTGAGCCCTGGAAACGCTTAGCCAGAGGCTGTTTGTGGTCTCAGGACGCGGGACGGCAAGAGGCCGGGGCGGTGACGCGGCTCACCCCTGTCCCCCACGGGCGGCGGGGCCCACCCGGCCTCACCTCTCTCCACGTGGACCTCGATGATCTTCTTCTCGCGGGTCACCCTGGCGCCGCTGCAGCTCTCGCAGCGGTCCTTGGGGTTGATGCGCTCGCCCTGGCCCTTGCACTCGATGCAGACCGTCTGGATCTGCTGCACCATGCCCGGCCCGATCTGCTGGATGTGGATCTGCATGCCCCGGCCCTTGCACAGCGGGCACTTCTCCACCGACCCCTTCTTCCCGCCGACGCCTGCACAGACCACAGTAAGGCAGCTGCGGCTTCGCCGCGGCAGCAGCCGAGCCCGGGCCCTGGGGCTGGGGTCCTCGCGTGCCTGGCCGGCGGACCACCTCGGACGACGGCATCTGCTCACATGCACGTGTGGTCTGGGCTGTGCCAGCCTCGCCACACGTGCTGTACCCGCTCCCACAAGTGAAGCCACCCGCGCCCACCTGAGCCGGCAGGGGCCGTGGGGGCCCGTCCACGGGGGCCGCAGGGCGTGGCTCAGCCGTCCCTCCGTGGGGAGCTCTGGTCTGAAGTCACCAGACAGGAATTTTCATGAAAACTCAAGGGCCAGCTGAGCCTTGAGTTGGCATATCCGGGCCGTCGCAGCACAGGGAGGGTCACAGAGCTGGGGACACTTAACTGCCCGGCCCTTGACAGGCAGCATCTGCCAACCGTGGGCCCAGGTGGACTGACTCGGTTTTTAAACGCTTCAAATAACTGTCAACACACAGAGGAAATACGTGGCCGGCCCGAGTCAACCCTGCCCTGGGACAGAAAGCCCCGGGCCTCGGGCCCCGCTTCAATCTCTGCCTGAGGCCCACATGTGAAAAGAGAAATAATTTTTCTGTGAACCGTAAAACACACACGTTCCTGGATCTAGGGCTCGGGACTGTGAGAGTCACTCAAAAATTAATTAATTACTTTACCTTCGCATTTCTCACAAATTACATTTTTCTGGAGGGCCAATTTCTTTGTGACTCCATTATACAAATCTTCAAGGGTTACGGACAGCTGGTGCACGACATTCTTGCCTTGCCAAGGGAGAAAAAAACCGGGTTAGTATTCGCATGATAAACGGCCCGCCGCGTGAACATCACCCACCCGCCCCCGTGCCTGGGGGCCTCCAGAGACCCCCGTGCTGGGTCCCGGCCGGCCTCCCAGCCGGAAGCAGCTTCCGTGGCCGCAGCCTGGCCCTGAGCCAGCCACCAGAGCTCTTGCCCTCTCTCGCTACGAGCCAATTAGTCATTTATCAAGGTCTTTATCAAATCTGAGGACAGAGCGCTCACGCGGGGAGAAGGCGAAGGCGGGCCGCGCAGGGACCCTGCTGTCCGAGACCTCCCAGGGAGAGGCCCTGTCCCTGTCCTGTACCAACAGGGGATGAGGGGATGTCCTGCGGCTCCTCCTCGGGCGGCAGGTGCTTCCCTCTCGGGGCCCTCTGGTCGCTTGTGGCCACGCAGGAGCGCTGCTCTCTGCCGAGATCTGGTTTCTGCGTTTGTCCCGGGGTGGGGGTCTGTCTGCCTCGGGCTCTGCCCATCTGTCAGGCCGGAAGGCATGAGGACCCTCCCCACATGGCCCGTGGCTCTCCCGGCCTCTGGCACAAGCTGTCCTGGCTGACTGGCCGTCACCTTTGAGGGATGACTTCACTAACGGCGTGAAGTTTTCCATCTCAAGTCGGTGAGAGAGCTGGGTAGGACACCCGGGTTTCCAGGACGGCCACAGTGTCGCTGACAGGCCAGAGGCCAGGGGAGGACTGGGCCCTGCCACTCACCTGGCCAGTGTCGCACACCACGTCCACAGCACTGGCACCCCGGCTTTTTAAAGCCCAAAGCCAATTACAGTGTGAGAACAAACATGGCTTCATTTATCCCTCACTGACCAAAACCAGACTTCCGAAACCCCCTGCACAGCTGATGTCGCCTGCCTTTGTCTAGAATTACATCCAGTCTGGTCCCCCACTTGGCTCCCGGATCCCAAGCAGGCTGTGAGGAGTACGGCAGAGGCCGGGGGGAGGGGCAGCTGTGCAAACCCAGTGCCCAAATCAATGGCACGAAGCTGCCGTGGAAGGCTGTGAGAACCAGGCCACACGGAGCCCAGCCAAGCCCGTCAGCCCCAAGAGGGGTCACCGGCCCTGGCACCCTGCCACAAGGAGGGGCTGGGGAGGAGGAGAGAGGCACTCTTGGCAGAGGCATCGCGAAGGACCCCGGCAGGTGCCCCGGCCACCCACCCGGACACATGGGTGCTGGCGCCAACCACAGAGGGAAAGAGGACAAGATGAACCCAACCTCGGTATCCACCGCCGCACCCCTCCTACGTGGCATCTGGAGGGTGTCGCACAACCACGAAGCACACTCAGGCTGCCTGGATGCCAGACAGGTGGCAAAATGGTCAAAGCCAAGAAACCCGGACGTGACGATGCCCGCGAAGCACGGTCCCCTGCCGCACCGGCACCTGGACCGGCCCCGCAGCGCTGCAGGCCGCGTGTTTACCTCTCCTCTCTCTGGCCATCCGTCCACCGCCGCCGAAGAACATGTCAAATATGTCCATGGGCGATGAGAAGCTGGGGCTGCCCGAGCCGCCTTCTTTGATGGCCTGCTCTCCGCCCTGATCATAAATGTCCCTTTTCTTTGGATCGGAAAGCACCTCATATGCTTGGGATATGAGTTTAAACTTCGCAAGAAAAAAGAGAGGAGAGAGGTTATGACATGGAGGGGTTTGAGTTGTGTCACTAAGCAAGCCTGCGACAGGAATACGAAACAGTAACGGGCAGGCCCGGGCTAGAGTTGGTCCCCTTTCCCACTTACTCCCTGGGGAAGGGGCCCAGGGAGCGCGCAGGAGAGAAAGCAGGGGGGAGGGGCGCCACCTCCCCCTCCGGCTGCAGCCGGCAGGAAGCAGCAGAGCCCGGTTCCGATGCACTGAGGTGGTGCCAGGGCCCAAGTCTAAAGGCGAACAGAGCCGCGGGGGCTGCGGCTGCTCTGCCGGTTTACCGCGTGGACTTCCACTACCGGCACCTGTGAGCATCCACGGGCCGGCCAGGTGCTGCTGCAGACCCGGCCTCGGGCGCCAATCTCGCCTCTCCGCACCTGGCCTCCTGCTCCTGCTTCAAGCCTGCGCCCGGAGGAACTGTGGCAGACACAACACCACGTGCAGCCGCCCCGCGAAACGGGCAAGGGGAGTCAAAAAGTTCGTGGGGAGGCCGGCGCCGCAGCTCACTAGGCTAATCCTCCACCTAGCGGCGCCGGCACACCAGGTTCTAGTCCCGGTCGGGGCGCCGGATTCTGTCCCGGTTGCCCCTCTTCCAGGCCAGCTCTCTGCTGTGGCCTGGGAGTGCAGTGGAGGATGGCCCAAGTGCTTGGGCCCTGCACCCCATGGGAGACCAGGAAAAGCACCTGGCTCCTGGCTCCTGCCATCGGATCAGCGTGGTGCGCCGGCCGCAGCGCGCCGGCCGCGGCGGCCATTGGAGGGTGAACCAACGGCAAAGGAAGACCTTTCTCTCTGTCTCTCTCTCTCACTGTCCACTCTGCCTGTCAAAAATAAATAAATAAATAAATAAAAATAAAATAAATAAATAAAAAGTTTGTGGGGAAAAAATCGCATTACGAAAAAACTATGCGTGCATTTTAAAATTTTTTGCACCAAAATAAACTGCTTTTAATTCAATTTTCCATAAGCTTTAAAAAAATTCATTTATTTCACTTAATTTGAAAGGCGGAGAGAAAGAGATGTCCCACCCGCTGGTTCACTTCTCAAACATCCACGATGCACAGGGCTGGGCCAGGCTGAAGCCAGGACTCAGGCCCTCGATCTAGGTCTGCATGCGAATGACCTGGACCCAACCAGCTGAGCCGTCACCCGCGGCCTCCCAGGATATGTACCCTGCAGGAAGCTGGGACCAGGCGCAGAGCCGGGACTCGAACCCAGGCATCCCGTATCCCACGTGGCATCCCAGCCTCCAGGTCAAACCCAAGCAGCTCCCTGCAACCCCACCAGGAACACTGCAATGCTCCTCCTCTCACTGGCATTCGGTTATAAGAATCGGAAACCCCGACTGAGGACAGGCTGCACAGGGAAGCTGGATCCGCCTGAGATCCTGTGCTGGCTCCACGCTTGGGAGACAATGGCTGCAGAGGAACAACGCTGCTGGGACAACGGAAGCAATGTGACTTCCTCCGCGTTAGACGTTTTGGCTGCCGTATCTACACGATGGTTAAGTACAGGGACGCTTGCTCCCAGGAGAAACGTGTTTGGGGCGGCGTGGTTGTGACGTGCGCAGCTTGCTTTAAGGCTGAGCGCCCCTTGTCTTAGACACTTGTCTTAAACATGCATTTCAGGACTGGGGTTTTCTTGGACTTTGGAATATTTGCATAGATGTTAGTAGCTGAGCACCCCAACCTGAAAATCCAGGTTCTAGAAGCTTCCGATGGGCAGGGATATGCAACCCATTGTAGAGATGATCGAAGCCAACATGCAAAGTTGAGGGGAGGGTCTGCAGGTGCTCACTGTGCCACGCCCATCTCCTCCACAGGTATAAACACCAGCACACTGACCTACGCCAACCCACCCTTCCGCCCACCACTGCCATCGCCCTGACCAAGGCCACAGCTAAGCCCACTCCCATCCTCATTGCGTATACTACATGCCCACTGCGACCCGAGCCCCATGACCACGGGGCTGGGGGCTCTGTCAGCCCTGCCGCTGCTGCAGCCCTGCGCCTAGAACCGTGTGCAGCCCGTAGAAGGCACTGGGAACATATTTGTTAAACAAATGGCTGGATCCTGAAAACTGAGACATGAAGGAGAGGAGGCCAGCTCTGTCTGACCAACAGTGCAGCCTAGGCCACGAGGACCAAACGCTGACACTTACCAAGGTGCTGGAGCGTCCCTGGCCCCCGGCCCCTGCCAGAGAGCTAATCAACATCTGATAAGCAGAGCCCACCCGCCAAAGTAGCCAGCCAGGAGATTCAGTCTCACTGCACAAGGCACACGGTCTTTGGATCCGTTAATTCTCCGTACCACTTCTGCCGTGTAGGTCTCAGTCACTAAGCTCCCTTTCTCCAGCAGCAAATTTGGGGTGCAGGTAGTCTCTGCACCCCCAGATCTGAAAGCAACTGGACAAGGAGGCCCCTGGAACGTTCCTGGGCCCCTGTGTAGCTCAGGGCACACGCAGGTAACAGTGTCCACTAGACACACTCACCAAATACCTGGACATGCACAAGCACTCACACGTGACAGAAGCCCTCTAAGGGTGGGAAAAGAACACCCCTGGGGATGGGTTCGATCAGATCCTGCAGGGGTGGGGGCACTGACTACCCAGAGCAGGGGCCCCTCAACCTCCAGGGACCCTGCCGAGTCTAACCAGTGCCCTGCCCGGGCCACTCTCCCAGCTGGAGATGGCTGCCGTGACCGGCACTGGAAGCGCTCGCTCTGCAGCCAGGGCAAACGGTCTGAAGACTGCATCCTCACTTGTGATCAAATATCAAGCATCAAATATCAAGCAAAGAGAGGAAAACTAAAGTCTACGCACAGGCTCCCCCCGGGAAAAGCCTGGAAGGCAGTCCGAGGTGCGTGTAGGGGATGTGTCCAGGGTGGGCTCTTTCAAGACCCTTTAACATCAAAGTCTGTTACGCAAACTAGAAGTTACAATGAAATCAAGCAAAAGACCAAATTCATCTTAACAGAGCCGCAGCCCAGAACACTCCCCTGATCGCTGGCCCCGGAAAGGGACTGCCTTGCTGACCGGCCACTGGCCACCCGCTGTGTCTTGCAGAAAACCAACCACACGCAGACAAGTAGCGACTCCACGCCAAGAGACCAGAGCGTCTGACAACAAATGCGGGCGACCCGGTGCTTAGCAACGGGGGACAACAGAGCAGAAAACAAAGACCGGCACCCCAACGGCCGTCTCAGCTGTCCCCGAACAAGGGGGACGGGACTGGCCGAGTCTATTTTTGAAGGGACATGAATAATACAGTGACAAACTCAGGAGGAAAAAAAAAACCCCAAGGTTCCACCTGAGACAGGCAAAGCGCAAAGAGCCACATTCAGACACCCAAGAAAGCAGAGGCCAGCAAAGTGCCCGGCACACAGTAGGAGCAGAAGAGGAGCCCCCGTCTCGTCACACCCCCCCCTTGGTTTCTGCAGACCTCCACCCCACCCCCCCGCCCCGACCCCCTTCCTGGAACGGCCCTGCCTGTCTGCAACTGCACCAGGCTCTCTGCCCTCCGGTCCCACCCGACATTTCTGAAAGTTCACTTCTCATGACATTGTCATTCACTCCCATGGCCAGCAGGGACCCTGCACAGCGGGCCCCTCGGCTCAGGAGCAGGCGTGGGGACACAGCCTCCGGCCTGGCCACATCACAGCATGGAATACGGGTATCACACGAACAACCAGTGTCCTAGGAGGCTAAGCAGTGCACCAGTGGTTCAGAACCCACCTCCTGGGTGGTGGGTAGCTGAGAACTACACTGAAGGGTTTGTTTCTTCCATAAACACAGGCGAAGGAAGATGCGCCTGGCAGTAGCATGCCCCCCCCTCCAAAAAATAAAGAAATAAACAGGAGAGACCTGAAAGACCCTACTCCTAAGAGCCTCATTTATGTGACACTAATTCAGTGCTTGGCTATAAATAATTTTCAGCTTAAAACAAGTCTAATGTAAACAGACAAACTTCGGAACACCAAAAACACACACCCGTGCATGCACACAGCCAGGCACGAGGTCTGACCTGAGCCCAGGGTCACAAGGCTGGCCCACATGCGGCCACGACCAGCCCAGGCTCTTTCCTTACAGGAGCTGGTGAGAAACCAACTACGATGCACGCAGGGAGTGTGTCTATGAATCACCAACCCCAGGGAGAAAGCCAAGGGCTTTAAAAGCTACAGTAACCCACCTAAATATAGACGAGAAAGGGCTGGAGGGGGTGGGGGCAGGCACACGGTCTGGGAGGGGAGCATTGCAACCTGGTGACGGCCACAATCGGCAGATGTGGCTAAATATAAATATTTGATCACTACTACCACCCTCCAAGCTTCCTCCAGCTGGGATAACTACCAGGACAGGTACTTCCATTGGCTCTCCACACCAGGCAGGTGGGTGGGGGTTCTTGTCAGCTACTGCAACCGCCCCACCTCCCAAAACCCATCTGGGACATCCAAAGTTTCACAGGAAACCGGCAGGCAGAATAAGGAGCCAGAATAAGTCACCTGTTCAGGTGGATCGAGGGCTTCCTTTGGGACAAAAAACAGACTTCCTGAAAAAGATTAATTCCGTTGTCTACAACGCGGAGCCCTTTGGAGCTTATTTTTGGTACTTAGGATCCACAGGAAGCCTAGAATATGATGCGCTGATAGGTCGGGGCCTTTCGCATCCCCGCGATAAAGGGGAGGCAGCCCAGGGGCCAACGCACCCTGTCATTCTCAAAAGGGACCCCGGGTTGGTCCCAGGCACAGGCTCAGCCCTAACAGCTCATCCCTAGGGTTTCCGCATCCACTGGGACCAGGAGCACAAAGCGCCTTCCATCCCGGGAGTCCCCAGGCAAGGACACAACTTCTGGCCCCGAGTGCCTCAGTTTCCCCGTTCGCCGGCTGCCTCTCCCGCAGCGATGCTCCCAGGGGTCAGCCCCCGCACACACTGGACGAGCGAACCGCAGCGGGGACCGGCCGCGCAGGGGCTCCCGCGGCTCCGCTCGGCGCCTCGCCCGCCCACGCCGCGCCGCCCGGCCCGGCCCGACCCCGCCGCCCCCGAGTGAGTCCCGGGGGCGCAGCCGCCCGCACCTTCTCGCCCTCATCCGGGTTCTTGTCCGGGTGGTACTTGAGCGCCAGCTTGCGATAGGCCTTCTTGATCTCCTCCGGGGAGGCGCTGGGCTTCACCCCCAGGATGTCATAGTACTGGGTCTCCTTCACCATCTTGTCTCTGCGGGCCGGGGCGGGCGAGGCCGGTCAGCGTGTGCGGGGCGCCCGCCGGGGCCCTGGCCCGCGCCGCCCGCCCGCGCCTCACGGTCACGGTCACGGTCACGGCTCCCTCGGCCGCCCGCCCGCCCGCTCGCTCGCCCGCTCGCTCAGCCGCCCGCCCGCGCCGCCGGGCCGACCTCCGCGCCCGGCACCGCCGCACTCGAGCCGCCGGCTCCTCCGCGGCGGGTTTTATTGGGCGCCGGCGGAAGGTTCCGCAAGGAGCGGGTGACGCCACAGAGGCCCAGAACCTTCGCGGAGGTTCCGGCGGCGGCCGTCTCGGCCCGGCCGGCTCACCCCGAGTCCTCGGCCGCCTGCTCCTCCTGCCGCCCTTCCGACTCCCCGGAGCTCCAGTGCTGACTGGAGCCGCCCCGGGCCATGGTGGGGCCCTTGGGAGGCGGCTTGGACGTGAAGGGCGCCCTCCGACGACCGTCCCGCCGCCGCGAGGCCGCCCCCTTGCCCTTGCGCGTGTCCGTGGGGCCGGCTGGCTGGAGGCTGCAGAGGCTTGGGGGGCCGCGCGGGCGGGAACCGTGCACCGAGGGGCAGCGCTGGGCGAGCTGCGGGCGCGGCCCGCGGACCCCACCCGGCCTCTCCCACGGGCGTGGCCCCCCTCTGTGGGGTCACCGCCCGCGTGCGCCCGGAGGCTTACGCCACATTGTTGCGTTTTTGAGGGGCTGGGGGCTGTGGGTAGGGACGCCCTGTACTGGGTTGGGGTCCCGTCTCTCGAGGGTGCACAGCAGCCAGCAGCTAGGGGGGGTTCTCAAGGCTGAGGTGTACCCCAAAGTCTTCCAGATCTGGACAGCGGCCCTTAGCTGGCCCTGGGTGTGGACAGCGATCTGTCCGCTGCCCACCCTTGGGAGGCCCGTAAATGCCCCCTATTGTGGGCATTTCCGTCTATGAGATGAGAAGGCGACATCCCCCAGGACCTCCGAAGGGATCCGCGCCCCCTCCCCTCCAGGCGTCCTCAATGCACCTGCCGCTGACCGAACCAATCTGATGGGCAATTGCCGTGTCGTGCACCACATCACAGGGGTCCCATGGCTGGACCCTGACCTGACGGGGTGGCCCCGGAGGCTGCCTGGAAGGGCACAGTAATAGCCCTCGACGCCCCTGGGCTGCCCCCAGCTCCTGGCATGTGTCCTGGGAGCCATGATCAGACCTGCAGCAGCCAGGGTGGGGACAGCTAGTGTCCTGCTATCAGTGAACTGCAGGCCCCTCTGCCCGCGCCAGCCTTGGCTTCTGCCTGTGTTTTCGCTTTGTCAGCAGAGCCCTGTGCGGGCCACTGGCCACTCCCTAGGATCCCCTGGCCTGGTTTGGGGTCCTGTGGTTGCAGCCGGCACTGCCTCTCCTCCATGTCTTCCGTGGATATGAGAAATGATACGTAATGGCCAAGAGAAGTTAGGCTGCTCACGGCTGTTCTTGGGGACTTTTTTTTTTTCTGAATTGTGCCCTTGGACACAGTAAGCTTTGGTTAGGGAACTCACAACTGGAGCTCAGGAATTTTGGATTCCCTACCCAGCTATTACTGACTGTTCATATAGCTTTATGGGGGCCGGTGCTGTGGCACAGTAGGTTAAGCCTCCGCCTGCAGCGCCGGCATCCCATATGGGCGCTGGTTCTAGTCCCGCTGCTCCTCTTCCAGTCCAGCTCTCTGCTGTGGCCTGGGAAAGCAGTGGAGGATGGCCCAGGTGCTTGGGCCCCTGCACCTATGTGGGAGACCAGGAGGAAGCACCCAGCTCCTGACTTCGGATCGGCACAGCTCCTGCCATTGCGGCGAATTGGGGAGTGAACCAATGGAAGGAAGACCTTTCTCTCTCTCTCTCTGCCTCTCCTCTCTCTGTGTAACTCTGACTTTCAAATAAATAAATACATCTTTAAAAATATTTTTATTTATTTATTTGAGAGGTAGAGTTGCAGACAATGAGAGGAAGAGACAAAGCCTCAGGGCTCTTGGATCAAATGGGCAGATGAAGGCTCCTGGCCCTGTAGCCTCAACCCCGGCTGCTGTGGGGGTCACCCGGAAGCTTCTGAAAGGCCCTGTGACTGGGCAGTGCGCTGCACTACTACAGAGCTTCAGGGGCGGGATCCAGGCATCACACTGGGGGGGGGGGGGGTTAAAATCATAAGAGGCCAAGAGAGAGTTCCTCTCCTGAAGTGCTCACAGAAGCCCTGGGCCAGGGATTGAAACCAGGTCCCAGGACTCAATGCAGAGCCCACACATGGGTGGCAGGAACCCAGCTGCTGCCTCCCAGGGTCTGCACTAGCAGGAAGCTGGAGTCTGGAGCCAGACCCCACTATCAAACAAGCATTCCAGTAATGGGACGTGGGCATCTTAACTGCTAGGCCAAATGCCTACCTGAAAAAAAATTTTTTAAGGTTTATTTGAAAGGTGGAGTTACAGAGAGGCAGAGGCAGAGAGAAAGAGAGGTCTTCCATCGGCTGGTTCACTCCTCAATTGGCCGCAACAGCCAGAGCTGGGCTGATCTGAAGCCAGGAGCCAGGAGCTTCTTCCAGGTCTCCCATGTGGGTGCAGGGGCCCAATCACTTGGGCCATCTTCTACTGCTTTCCCAGGCCACAGCAGAGAGCTGGATCAGAAGAGGAGCAGCCAGGACTTGAACCAGTACCCATGTGGGAGGCTGGTGCTGCAGGCCAGGCCCAAAAATAACATTTTTAAAAAGGAATAATGAGTAGGTGGCACTTGCACAAGTGATGTTTAAGACATACTGATGCAATTCTGCCACCTCATTTTACAGTGGGGAGACTTGGTGCAGAGGAGAAACAGCGGTGTGGAATGCTCCGTGGCCCCTGATTCCAGGGTGGGAGTCAGTCCAAGAAGCATGGAAGGAATCCTGGGACAGGTTCCCCTTGGAGTCCCGTGATGGAGGAGAGCCCCGCGAGACTGGGGAGAGGCCCGGAAGGACTTCACGGAGGAGGGAGCATATGCCACAGGCCTGCATGTTGGAACCGCCTTGAGCAGGGCGGGTGGGAGGGTGGGGAGCCATGAGGAAATGACCGCAGAAGAAAGGCAGGTGGTGCAGTGCCCTGGCGGGGGGCAAACCCTGCGTGGGAAGGGAAGCAGGGGCAGGTACCCTGGAGCCCTGATGCCTTCAGGAGTGTGCTGCAGATGGTCCTGGGGAGCCGTGAACGGCTTCAGAGCAGGAGCTGCCCGGGGGAGGCTGGGCGGGTGTGGGCCTCAGGGAGGGGTGTGACAGCCGGCCCAGAGAGAGGGCAGCAGCAGGGCAAGGCAGCGCCCAGGAGACGGCTGGGGAGCACCTGCCAGTGGGAGGTGGAGGGATGAGGAGCAGCCCCAGAGCGGCGGAAAGAGAACCCGGGGTGACAGGGGCTGCAAGAGGAGGAGGTTGTCAGGGTCCATGAGAAAGTGTATTACGGGGCCGGCGCCGTGGCTCACTAGGCTAATCCTCCGCCTTGTGGCGCTGGCACACCGGGGTCTAGTCCCGGTCGGGGCGCCGGATTCTGTCCCGGTTGCCCCTCTTCCAGGCCAGCTCTCTGCTGTGGCCAGGGAGTGCAGTGGAGGATGCCCAAGTGCTTGGGCCCTGCACCCCATGGGAGACCAGGAGAAGCACCTGGCTCCTGGCTTCGGATCAGCACAGTGCGCCGGCCGTGGTGGCCATTGGAGGGTGAACCAACGGCAAAAGGAAGACCTGTCTCTCTCTCTCTCACTGTCCACTCTGCCTGTCCAAAAAAAAAAAAAGTGTATTATGAAAAAATCTGTGCTTGGATTTCAAAAACTTTTTGCAGCTAAATAAACTTCTCTATTCATTCCGTCTTCCCACAACCGTTTTGAAGTATGCCTGTATATATATATATAATGACTTTTTTTTTTACTTTATTTCAGCAAGATCACTCTGTTGTTATAACAGTTACATTGTGTTCCATTTTCAGTAATATAAAATTGTAAAAAGATTCTTGAGTCATTGTAACTCTGAGTTTTCATTTGAAGACATTTCCCTGTTTGGAAGCACAGCAAAATTCTCAAAGCAGTGCTTAGATGCGAACATGAATTTTATGTATCATGTCTGAACGTGGCAATAAAGACACAGAAAACAGATGAGTTACCGTAGAAATACGTTTTTATGCCATAGCATCATTGCTATCAGTTTGCTGAGACGCCCTTAATGAGATATAATTGACGCACAAGGCATTGCATATGTTTGGAGTGTGCCGTTTAATACGTTTTGATTGGTGTATCCACCCGTGAAAGCCTCACTTGGAGACCACGAACATACCCACTGCTCCCAAAGTTATCCTTACGAGCAAACGCCCACTTGAAGAATGGCCTGATCAGGCTGGCACCGGTCAGGTGGCCGGAGCCACAGCCCCATTCTGCTGCCTCCTACTTTGCTTCCAGAAAATCAACCCATCGCCAGCACAGGTGGGTCCGCCACTTCCCAGCCTTGCGGCCTTGGCGCAACTGCTTCCTCTCTCTGCCTGTAAAAGAGCAGGTGCGTCGTAGGACCGTGAGAGGTGTGGAAGGTCACCTTGGCGTCCATGGTGAGCTGCTTGTGTGCCGCTGGGCCTGGCAGTTTATCTCACGGTAATGTCAGCCCCATCTTGGTTTGTGCGAGTAGAATGTGTGACCATTCAGCGACAGCACAGCTGATTCTGTTGTCAAGCAATACACGGCTGCATCCGTAGACATGAACAGGTGTCTGTGTGTGTGTGAATATATACCGTACATAAATTACGTAATCAAAAACCCTTGGGCAAGCATTGTGGTGCGGTGGGGTAAGCCGCTGCTGGCGATGCCGGCGTCCCATATCAGAGAGCCAGAATGAGTCCCTGCTGCTTTGCTTCGGATCCAGCTTCCTGCTCACGCACCTGGGAAGGCAGCAGAGCGTGAACCCAGTCTCAGGCCTCTAAGCCTCTCATCTCCTGCTCTCCGGCCCCTTCCTGCCGACTAAAGGCAACGGGCATCCCCTGGGGCCTCCAGGCCCAGCCTCATTTACCTCTCAGAAAAGCAAACAAATGTTGGAATTTCTAAAAAAATTTTAAAAAGAGTTTGCTTAGAAAAGCAGTACTTGGCCGGCGCCGCGGCTCACTAGGCTAATACTCCACCTTGCGGCGCCAGCACACCAGGTTCTAGTCCCGGTCGGGGCGCCGGATTCTGTCCCGGTTGCCCCTCTTCCAGGCCAGCTCTCTGCTGTGGCCTGGGAGTGCAGTGGAGGATGGCCCAAGTGCTTGGGTCCTGCACCCACACAGCAGACCAGGAGAAGCAACTGGCTCCTGCCTTCAGATAGGCGCGGTGCGCCGGCCGCAGCGCGCTGGCCGCAGCGCCCATTGGAGGGTGAACCAACGGCAAAGGAAGACCTTTCTCTCTGTATCTCTCTCTCACTGTCCACTCTGCCTGTCTAAAAAAAAAAAAAAAAAAAAAAAGAAAAGAAAAGAAAAGAAAGAAAGAAAAGAAAAGCAGTACTGTTTGTGATGCTGTTGGCGACTGGTACTCGCTTGCTAGCCGGGCTGGATCTCATGCACGCAGCCCAGGGCTGCTCTGTGCTGTGTCCCCATGGTGTCCACTGGCACAATCAGACGCGAAGGGCAGGGGTGGAGGGAGGGACCCGCCACGTTTACT